AATACTTCTTTAAGAGTAATATTTACATAATCAATTTTTTATTTAATATGATTTATCTATTGATGATAATAATAATAATAATAATTATTATTATTATTATTATCCAATAAATAATATGGGTATTTAACAAAAAATATTGTTTTAATTCAAAAAGAGTCATTTTTAATTACATTGTTTCTTTCAGTTAACATAGATGTACACTATGAAAAATATATTTTAATAAAAATACAAAAATATTCTGTGTAGTTTCTCACTTAATGAGGGCATAAAACCTAAAGTCTTGAAAATGTATAATAATGAAAAATTATTATTTAATAAAAAGTATTAAAATATTTTTATAATACAGCATGTCACGCTGCTCTCACACTGTTTGAAATGTGAGAAAAAGTACAAATACATGCACTTTACAATAAGATATCATTAGTTAACATTAGTTTGTGCATTAACAGCATTAACTAACAATTATCAAAATATTTGTTACAGTACTTAATAACCTTTGTCAGCGTTAGTATAAAATAAAAATACAACTGTTCATCTGAGGTCAATTAAATAATATAATCAGATACAACTTTTGATTTTAATAATGTATTAGTAAATGTTGTAACCAACTATAATTAATAAATGCATTAGAAATATTTTTAATTGTTTTCATGTTAATATTCTTATATATAAGAATAAAACAGAATATGTTGTATATCTACTGCAGGTAAAGTCCAATAGACCATTGTTTTCAAAAGCCAAATTAGTCATTTCATTTCAGTTCTCGAACATACTTCCTTCTGGTCACCTCAACACAGTATTCTGAAACCATTCTGTGTTATATGCAAAACTACCGTGAGACAAACTGCTGATAACAACTGTACACAAAAGCCAGTGCTGAGTTGATCCATCAGGAGAAATGTGATCTTGACTGCAGAATTAACAGTCGGATCCATTTCATTCTGCTGACAGAATGACATGACAACAGTGCTTTTATGCCAAATCACTTTGCTTTGTAAATGAACACGCATAAAGGTGCAAGAAGCAAACATGTCAAGGTGATACAGACACAAACTTGGCATGAATGAGAAGGTTAGAAGGTCAGTGAAAATGCTAAGTTTCTATAGTTTTCTTAAACAGAACATAGTTTTCCATAAACAGTTCACATTTTCTTCGGAAAATATAAAAATTTGGTAAAAATGTGTTTTTTAAAGTAAAAATATTTAATACATTGTTTATCATGTATGATTAAGAATATTGGGCTTCAGATGGGAATGGCATTGTCCAATGTTCAGATAGGAATTTATTTCTTAAAAATGGCCTGTTTGTTTAGTTCACAGTAACATGAATGCAAGCCTTTTCCACTTATGGCAACATTCAGTAGCAACTTTTCTCCCAGACCGTTTGAGCTGGTTTTACTTTAAATCTAACACATATTTAAACCTTAACAACCAACTTAAGACTAGGATGTGACCTATATCATATAGAATTCCACAGTGCTTCTTACAAATGAACCACTTGGATATACGTAATGACTTGTTTCAATTCAACAAAGGGCCTCTCTCACATGTGTTTCCATAAAACAAGGGCCTGGTCACCTCCTGACCCCAAACTTGTCAGAGTGTTGGATATTCCATGCTCTCACTGAGAAAAGCCCTTTCAGTTGACTTCACCGAATACTCCAATTCCAGCCAATCTATGTCAGAAGACAAATCTTGCACAATATGCATGCTGCATTTTTTCAATATGATAACACTTAAAGGCTTTGATCAGTTTGCAATGATCAGTCTGAACCTTCATGTCATTCCAAACCCATTTAAGTTGAATGTCCCCCCCCCCCCACACACACACAGAACACAAAAGGAAACATTTCAAATATTGTACTAGTCTCTTTTTTCCTGAAATTACAATAAATGGTGACTGAAACCTCAAAAAAGCAAAAGTGCCAGAAAAGTGCAGTTATAATGGTCCGTTTGATTCGTTATCTGACGCCTTTACAGCTTTGAAGTAGTACTGATGTCTGAATCATGAATGACTCCATTGAGTCAGATCTTATGAATCAGTTAATCCTAAAAACCAGTTTGAATGATTCAGTCCCGTCATTGTAAGTGGCTGTAAAATAGCGACCAGAACAATATTTTGTTTCAAAGAAGAAATACTCATAATTTAGAACAACATGAGGGTAAATTCTGAAAGTAAAGTGTAATTTAGTGCCATTAGTATACTTTTTAGTAGCATGCTTGTAATATGCCACACATTTGAGCTGTAGAAATATCACCATTGCTTTTTAGCGCTATTAAAGATCTGACTAATCCACAAGCCTTTAAAAATGTCACACATCTTTCTGCAAAAAAAAACAGTCAGGAGCCACAAACAATACACCAGGAATATTAAATAAAACTAATTACTGTTTTAACAAGTGGTACCCTTTAGCAACTGTATCCTCATTGGCAGATGTGTGATTTGTCCAGAGCATTAATGAACAGCTGGCTATCAGTGCATGTAAGGTCAGCAGCGAGGTGTTTTGCCAAACCCCTACTGTTGTGCCAAAACCCAGTTATGATCGTTCAAGCATTCACTCCGAAAGTAGCATGTGTACATTTAGGAATCTCCCTTTTAAGAATGTTCCTATTATTGTTGAACTTTGACTAAAAATTCTTTCTCCCCATTATTTTCAAGCATCCCATTTTTGTTTTACTAGCGAACTCTTACTAACATGGACAGAATTTTTTAGTCTCCATCAGACTCATGTAGGACGACCCCACAAATGAAACACAAACTGAATTCAGATACAGAAACATACTAAATAATAAATGTAATGACTTTCTTCTGTAAAATATAAATTAACATCAAATCTGTATGCATGCATGCTTTGCTATCATAGCAGCAAGCTCAGGTATTTTTAAAGCATGACCCAAATGCATAACTATCTGACGTTCAGTGGTTTAGACGGTTTTGTTTACGGCACGATTTTGGTTCACAGTTAAATGAGCAACATGGAAAACAAAGCCTAGCGAGTTAAGCTGTGAAGTTTATTTTTATCCATCATCATTCGAGTCTAGCTTTCATTGTGATCATTTTGTTGTTGACGTTTATAGAGTTTCAATATCACTGACAGTGATGCCTGTGTTTTGACGTCCATGATTAACCTTGCATTCTTATAAGCAAATGAGGAGCAATATTAAAATGAGGGTAAGCCTCCCATAACGGCCATCATATCAGACGACAACACAGGATATAGAAATATTAACTGGTACTTAGCTGATGTTGCACAATCATCCTGCAGTTTGGTTTGGTGGGGTTTGGGGGGGGGGCATAGCATGTGTTTTCCTGTCTTTGTGAGTAAAAGCATCTTTACTGTATTAACACTCGATTGAGTAACACTGGTGCCGCTATGCTGTAATGAAGTGAACTCAGCTAGCGTGACTGTTCGCCAACCTTAACAAACTTATACTGCTCGGGAGTTCTCAGTTATGTTTCATTGAAGTATCAACTTTGTCTCAGATGTTTCTTCTCAAATGCCTTTGGAAAAACAAAAATACACTCTTAAAAATAAAGGTTCTTTATTGGAATCTGTAAGGTTGCATGGAACCTTACCATTGCATAAAGGTTCTTTATAGTGGAAAAATGTTCTTTAGATAAAATGTTTTAATGCTAAGAAAAAAATAATTATTTTAGTAACCGTTCACTGAAAGGTTCTTTGGGGAACCCAAAATGGTTCTTGTATGGCATCGGTGTAAAATTTCCCTTTTGGAACCGTTATTTTTAAGAGTGTAGACACAAATGTGACTATTGTTGAGGTAGAGTAAGTGCACGAACAATAATATCAATGTGGGCAGCGTATCTCAAATTATTTGGTATTAGAAGAATGTGACAATACATTTTTGAGTTCATATTGTAACTTCTGACTAGCATTTAGGCAAATCGGAGCACAGTCTGAGACACCGCTGAGAAATTTGATAGAGTATAAGCTCAGGACATTGGAGTCTTTTACTCTAGAACCACACTCTCTCACAAGAGAGGCAATTCACTTTCCCTTTCATTTCTTTGCCATCTAGGAGAAACAACTGAGACTTTAATGAGATCACATTTGGAATGGGTTCGTGGGCCTTCCTGTGAATCCATTCGTTTGCTTTTGACAGATTCTCGCAGGATATATTTTATCTTTCTCTCTCTTTTCATTCTGTGTACTGCATCAACCCCCGCCCCTCTGCCCCTACTATCTCTCCAGTCTCCACAATTGTACCCCCCACTCCAGCCACCTAACCCCTCCCTGCGCAGGTTCCCTTGCACATGCACGCACAACCCTGTCACCAGGCTACACCGTCCTCGTTGCCTTAATAACAATCCTAGGAATTTTAGTTAGGGCAAAAAGGCTTCAAATGACACTTACTGAGGAAGGGAAAGGAAGGGGCCTGCCTATGGGGGGACCACAAACTCAACTCTGGAACCCACATCGACGTGATCGATGGGGAGCGAATGTGTTGTTGGTTAATAACGTGGAGCCGTGGGAGTCAAAGATCGGCAGGAGTATGGCCGAAAGGAGAATATCGACATGGGGCTTTCGGTACACTGCCAGCAGAAACAGCAGCCCTGTCTCTCCATGGGGTGTGCACCTTAGTCAGCTCTCTCTATATTCAACAGCCAACAGAGCATGGCATTAACACACTATACCTAGTGTACTTCCCTGTTTGAGATTCAATAATATGTGACTGTTTAACATTGCACAACCCGCATCACTAGGTACAGTACGTGGGCAAGATATCAAAGCTGTTCCTCAATCATACACTCGTTAGCCAATCCAGGGCTAAGGAGTGCTGCTTTAGCATCAACCCTGAGCATCACCTCACTGAGATGGAGGAAAATACCATTCCGCTACCCGAGGTGCTAAACACGCTCATGTTCACCTTCCCAAGCCAAAAACAAACCCAAGGACACTACCAGAGAAGCTAGCCTTGGTGTAACAACAGGAATAAGGGTGTGTGGAAAGAAGACTGAAAAAAAGGAAAAGGCTTCCTTACCGTTTTACCGCTTGCCGTCCATTCACCAGCAACACTGCAGACAAGCATTCGCTTGGGAGGCAGAGGGAGCGCGCGATCCGTCCCCTTAGACCTGAATCACCAACATCCTCAGATCCGCCTGATTCTCACACATGCACTCATTCACTGGCACTCTTTCGTTGTGTCGTGCTCTCTCCTCCTCTTATAATTGTCTGTGTGCTATTTCCCCTCTTGTTAGCTCCAAGGCAGTTAACGCAGAGACACTGCAGCGATGGGGGAGGAGGGTGTGTGTATGTGTGTGTGTGTGCGTCAGAGGGAGCGCGCGATCCGTCCCCTTAGACCTGAATCACCAACATCCTCAGATCCGCCTGATTCTCACACATGCACTCATTCACTGGCACTCTTTCGTTGTGTCGTGCTCTCTCCTCCTCTTATAATTGTCTGTGTGCTATTTCCCCTCTTGTTAGCTCCAAGGCAGTTAACGCAGAGACACTGCAGCGATGGGGGAGGAGGGTGTGTGTATGTGTGTGTGTGCGCGTGCATGTATGTGTGCTTGTGTTTGTGAGTGAGTGAGTGAGTGAGTGAGTGAGGGAGTATGAGAGCAATGGAGGGAGGAGTCAGTGGGCAAAGAAAAGAAGAGAAGGGAAAACAGCTAGTAGTCTTAAATTCTGAGGAAAAAGAGAAAGCAGAATAGGGTGCCAAGAGATCTCTGGAGAAAAAAATACAAGCCGTATCACAAAGAATGATGGGTATGAATAGAGAATAAGGAGGTTTATATGTGTGATTGCAAGATATGGCAGATGTTCTGCAGCCCCGATGATTCACTCAGCCAGCTGCAAGAGTCAGTCCACAGCAGGGGTGGTTGCGATTTCATTGATGGCTGAAAGAGCTTGCAGGAAAATGATTTTAAAAAACAACGAGAGATAGAGGCAAAGGAGGGAGTTGAAGGGGAGGGAGGAGATGATGGCAAGGGATCAGGAGGGGGTTGGATAATGCTGTAATATGTTGCTTCTGTGCCAACTGTTTCTGTGACAGAGGGAACACTTCCTCTGCAGCCATTGGTCCCCTGCTTGTACGGATAGATGTGCTGGCAAATAAAATATCCAGCAGTGGCTCATGGGTGATTGGAGCATGCTCCCCTCCCACCTCTCACCTCCCGCCCCCTGTTGAGGCAATAAGATTCTGCCTCACCCAAGGCAGCTGAGGACCACATCCAGTGCATTTGCGCTTTGCATCCCAAACAACACTTCACAGACATTAAGGTGTACATGTTTTGTTGCATTAAACATTCAGAGAGGTGAAGGGAACAGCAAGGTGCAAGCAATCCTTGTCTTTTGAAGTACATTTCAGCTTAAGCATTGTACAATTTTGGGAAATTTCGGTAGTCTAAAGATTTCTTTTGCCGTAAGGAGGAATCAGTAGGCTTAGTGTGACATGATAAGTGACTGCCAAAAATCATACCTTTAGGAGTACAACAACTTGACACTGGGTACACTAAGTACCCTTAATGGGTCATCTTTGTACCCCTAAAAGGTTCATTGTAGCACCATAATGGTACATATTTCTACTTTTTTTTTAAGGTGCTAAAATGCACCTTTTAGATAAGGTACAAGGTTGTCCCTTCAGGGTTACTGTCCCAGTGACAAGCTGTTGTACCTCCAAAAGTTTTTTTTTTCTCTGACAGTGTATTGTACAATCAGATAAGTGATAGCTGGGTGCACATGCAACTATTCTCAACCTACATGATGGTCTTTTTTTTAGATTCTTTTGTAGGTGACTATGGCAGGGACTGACCTGTGGTCTTAGGTCATGTGTGAGCATCAGTGGATGAGTAATGAACAAACTCTCACAACTGATCCTATCAGATTGTGCTGCTGCCCTGTTACATTTCACAGGATGTAAAAATAAGACCTCCTTGCATTAAGCTGTTAAACATATCATTCCATCGCCAGACAACAGCAATGTGATTTCAAGGAATAATTAATCAGAAGGAAACAGGAAATAGAAATATGAAATATCATTGAGACAAATTTGCATAAAAATTTGTAAACATAAACATACAGTGCATAAACCTTTTTTGAAGTTCTCCTGCCTCCTACCTTTCCTTCTCCTCTGATTGCCTAATCTTGGACAAATTCTAAAGCATTGCATGTATTCTTTGTATAAAAATAAAATAAAAATGATCTACGTCAGTGTGTCAATTTGTCGATATCAATTTGTGAAACTTAGAGCTCAAGATCTAAGTCTAGCTAAAGTCTATCAGGTGCAAGATAAGCACATAAAGATATACTTGTTACAAGAAAAAATATTAAAAACCAAGTTACTGAAAAATGTAGGATATGTTGTAAACAAGGTTTTGGTGGGGACTGGTGAGATATTTTGCATGTAGGTGACTATGGCAGGGACTGACCTGTGGTCTTAGGTCATGTGTGAGCATCAGTGGATGAGTAATGAACAAACTCTCACAACTGATCCTATCAGATTGTGCTGCTGCCCTGTTACATTTCACAGGATGTAAAAATAAGACCTCCTTGCATTAAGCTGTTAAACATATCATTCCATCGCCAGACAACAGCAATGTGATTTCAAGGAATAATTAATCAGAAGGAAACAGGAAATAGAAATATGAAATATCATTGAGACAAATTTGCATAAAAATTTGTAAACATAAACATACAGTGCATAAACCTTTTTTGAAGTTCTCCTGCCTCCTACCTTTCCTTCTCCTCTGATTGCCTAATCTTGGCCAAATTCTAAAGCATTGCATGTATTCTTTGTATAAAAATAAAATAAAAATGATCTACGTCAGTGTGTCAATTTGTCGATATCAATTTGTGAAACTTAGAGCTCAAGATATCTAAGTCTAGCTAAAGTCTATCAGGTGCAAGATAAGCACATAAAGATATACTTGTTACAAGAAAAAATATTAAAAACCAAGTTACTGAAAAATGTAGGATATGTTGTAAACAAGGTTTGGTGGGGACTGGTGAGATATTTTGCAAGCGCATGAACATCTCATGATCAGTTTGTGTGGGATTAAAATTATATTTGTGCAACCATAATGACAGTGCCTAAGGGCCTCTTAAAGGGTTAGTTCACCCAGAAATGAAAATTAGCCTGTGTTTTACTCACCCTCAAAGCATCCTAGGTGTATGTGACTTTCTTCTTTCAGACGAATCCACGAGGAGTTATATAAAAAATTGTCCTGGCCCCTCCAAGCCTTTCAATGGGGGTAAGCGGGTGTTGGTTGTCAATAGTTCAGAAGATGTGAAATAAAGTGCGAGCATCCATAATAAAACGTCCCTCACACGGCTCTGGGTGGTGAATAAAGGCCTCTTGTAGCGAATCCATGCATTTTTGTAAGATAAATATCCATATTTCAAACGTAATAAACACTTTTTTCTCACTTCCGCTGACAGTGATACGCGGAAGACATTCAGGCGGATGGCGTAAGACGTATGCGTCATGTGCGCGCCTCTGAGAAATGCAGGAGCAAAGGAAAACCAGTCTTCTCTTGGCTTATATCGAAATCCTCCGACATTTTTCTTTACAAATCCTCGTTTTGTGCTTCTAATTCGTGAACGGCGTTTTGTTTTGTCTCTGTGTTCGTCACTAATCAAGCAGCGTTGACGTCTTACTTCATCCGCCGGAACGCCTTCCGCGTATGACAGTCAGCAGAAGTGAGAAAAAAGTTTATTACGTTTGAAATTTGGATATTTATCTTACAAAAATGCATGGATTCGCTACAGGAGGCCTTTATTCACCCCCCGGAGCCGTGTGAGGGACGTTTTATTACAGATGCGCGCCCTTTATTTCAGGTCTTCTGAACTATTGACAACCACCACCGCACTTACCCTCATTGAAAGACTTGGAGGGGCCAGGACAATTTTTTATATAACTTCGATTGGATTCGTCTGAAAGAAGAAAGTCACATACACCTAGGATGCTTTGAGGGTGAGTAAAACACAGGCTAATTTTCATTTTTGTGTGAACTAACCCTTTAAATTACCCTAGTGTGAATGGATTTTAAGTGGCCTATGGGGTAAGAATAGGGAGCTGTAATGTTTTGTAGTAAGCCAAATACATGTTGGGCATGCTTACTTACATTCTGGGTGAGAACTGATGGTACATTTCTATAAACAGCTCTCCTGTGAGAGGAGTGATGTATGTGCTGTCACACAACAGTGTCAGATTGGAGACAGCATCTCCATGAAATAGCAGGTATTGTGAGTTTATGTATAATGTAAGTGTCTTGAATACAGCATTTCATCTGATCTCACAATGCATAAATATTCATGTAGGCCACATTTTCATATATTTTGTTTTCTTCAATCACATATAAATAGAAACTGCATGTCTAATCTGCTCATGCACGCTGGGATGCAATTCACAATTGCTGTCTTAGCACGGTTTTTACTAAAGGTTCAATTCTGATTGCTTCAGCAGTTTATTCAATTAGAGCTATTCAAGACCCATGTGTTCAGTTGCTTGCACCATGTTTAATAGTTACAAGCTTTCAACACTTTACAGCTGCACAACCCTAATGAACCTGTGGTTGTGCTGTCGGCATGACAGATACAGGGCCTCACTGCAAGGATTCAGGGGAAAC